ACTCCAAGAGTAATGATCGCCTTAACCCAAGGCTAATTAACTCTTCCGTTTAAATTAAGACTGACTTTATTTATTTTTATCTGCGGCAAAGCCGCCTAATTTTAAATGCATAGACTTTCCTAAATATGTTTAGTAACATCTAAATACATCTATAACTACAGGCTATCCAGCCCCGTTACCGTATCCTTGTTTGGGTGTGGTCACACCATGCCCATCTGATGTGACACACAACCCTGTTACCAGGGAATGTGTAACCCCGTTACATTCTCCCCCATTAAGATCAAGATCATTTACAGTTTCAATCGTTTATTGCCTCAACGAGGCTTGCGTGTCCGTTAGGCAGTGCGTTGGAACGAAACGACTTCCATGCTAAATGAGCCCTGTTTCAGTGACACCAAAGTCTCCAAGTCTCGTTGGTTCCGACAGCGCTCTCGGGCAGAGCCTAGCTTCATCTCACGCACACGATGCCATGTCGGACCGTGTCTCCACGGCATCGAGGGATGTAAATCCTAGGCACGATGAGCCCGAACGTCGCGCTCCGCGCGCGTTCACGGTGACGTGACCTCGTTGGGGCTGTGGAGGTGGTCGACTACGAGTCTGACACTCCTTTTTGCGGATGGAATAACGAGGAAGGCGAGCCGCACCGCGGCGTGAAACGAGCCCTGCTCGCGCCTTGCGGACCCCATGTCCGTTTCCTGACTTCTCGTCACCTAAGGAACGTGGTGTAATCACCAATAACCTCGATGATGAATAGAGGCAGCAGCTGAAAGCTGCCCGTAAGGCGGCTCTGATGCACGCTCATCCACGGTCAGTCATCGACCCTCGTGTGTATATGGCTTACGCCCGGCTGATCCCGCAGCGAAAGCGAAGGACACGGTAACTCGATCGTTACGCGTCCACATCATCGGGCCCCCGGACATTACGGAAGCTGGGTTTGCCGAACGAAAAGCTCTGCGAGCTCGTTTCTTGGTCCTATATTAAATTCCGTTGGACGTTTATCGCACTCGTCTACGTGCTCAACAAGGTGGTTCTCGTTACCCGCAAAGCAGACGATACCTGTAGTGCTCGCCCCTGGCGAAAGCGCTACAGATGACGAAGTGCTCTTTAAGCGATGGGTGCAACGACACCGAAAACTTTCCTCACTGTATGCCTTACAGCTGAGCCACAAGGGAAGTAAACGTGCGTGTGGAGCGCCACCTCCGATTTCAGTTTGCCAAACTCAAAGCACGCCGTCGACTCCCTGCAGACTGTCGCCTACGACGTATTGGTCAACCCCTAACGTTCCCGCGAGCTCTGTGTCTGCGACCGCAAGAGCTCCTGGCCACCGCTTGAGCTCAGCTCATGACCCTTCTTTTTCCCTGGCTATTGACGGGAAGCACGGGGTGCCCTGATATTTCTGATCAAAAGCGTCCACGGCGACTGGGCAATCTTGCCGAAGTAGCGTCTCAAACTCCCACGAGTTTTTGGAGTCGGGATATCCTCGCCACTTCAACAGATATTGGGTCTGACGCTGGTGACGACGTCGTCTCACTAGACGGTCCACGTGATAGTGGACGACACCGTTCTCATCGAGAAGAGTCGGTGGCGGGCGGTGACGACCGGGTCAACCACTGTCCGGTGACTCGCGATGCTATTTGAGCCCTTGAGGATGAGATCCTTCGTGATCGGATCTCCGCTGAGCGTCATGCTAAAGTAGCGTATCGCTGTGCGGACGCTCTTGATGATTTGGAGCGCGTCGTGCGCCAGCTGTCTCGCCTTGAGGACTACTGCGCTCTGTCGGAGCGACTCCTAGCAGTTGAGCAGGCGAATGCGTCGCTGCAGGCAACGGTGGGGCGCTTGGCTCCATTGAAGATGGAGGCTGTTGCACTCCGTGCTCAGAACCAGTTGCTGGTTCAGTTTCTGTGTGGCCGAGGGATCATGGGATCCGCTATAGCGCCAACGCTTCCGCGTTCACATGGGCCGGATCCCGATACAGCTAGAGCAAACCCACGTATAACACCATGTGGGTGCGCATCCGTTTTGGAAGGTTTAGCGTAAACGCTAGGCCCCGCTTGGCCACAACCTTCAACGGTTTAATAAACCGTGGACGAAGCTTCGTCCGGTAGAGAGCGAGGATGCATGTGTAGGAAGGTTTTTTAGAGTTTAATAAAACCAGGTCTCCGACCTTAAAGCTTTCCACTTTGCCTCTTCTTTTTTCATCTGCATATTCTTTCTGCAGGTCCTGGCCTTCAGCCATCGCATCGCGAACGTGTCGTAGGAACTCAGTCTGGTAGACAAGAAGTCATCAACTTCTCGCGGATATTATGGGGGCTGACATCAGCTAGCCGTTCGGCTATTACCCCCCAGCAAGCCCTGCGCCATGGGATGGCGGCTTCAGCAGGACGCGAGGGTGAATTAGCCCGTTCACGTTAAACAACCTGTAGCCGGTAGACAAACGCACTGCATTGTTCAGCAAAAACCCTACGAGTGGCAACATGGCGCTCCAGCGCCTCGGCGTGTCAGTGCAGACGCTGCGAAGAACGTCTTCGATGACGTGATTCACTCTTTCGGTTTGGCCATCGGTCTGCGAATGATCCACTGTCGACATCTCAAACTTGGTGCCTAGCACCTTGAAGATAGTCGACCAAAATTTTCCCTTGAAACGGGGGTCTCTATCAGA